TAACCACTGAGACACACTGAACATAGTTCCCTGTCTGCTCTCTGAATCCCTGATCTTTCCCAGATCAGGAAGGTAGCCCAAAGCAAGATGGAGAAGATAAAAGAACACAGACTTAAAGGAAGGTAGGGAGGGGCACGCCAAGTGCAGAGGAGAGTGCTGTTGAGAGGTATCTCTGAGATCAGGGAGGGGCCTCAAGAGAGTAAGACACTAACGCAGTGGTTCCTAAACTTTAGAAGCACAGAAGTCACCTAATGCAGGAAGTGGGAGCAAGGCTTATTTAAAATGCAGATTCCTGGGCCTCATTGCTCATTGATTCTGATTTAGTGGGTCTGAGTTGGGGACCAAGAATCCAATGTTAACAAACTCCCTGGGAGATTCTAATGCAAATGGTCCAGGAACCACACTGTGAGATGTTTGGCAGAGACTTCAAGTTCAGCACAAGACTTTTCTGGGTACTTCCTCCCCCTCAACCTTGATCTTGATATCCTTTCTCCCTCCATTCCTGATAGCCCATATTCCTGGCTCTCCTTCTCCCTGTGCCCAGACATCCCCACTGAGCATTTCAGGCCGGCCAGGCTCTGTTCCTACTCTTTTCTCCACCTGGTGTGACCTTCCCTGCCTTTTGTTGCTCTGTCCAATTTCCCCCAAGAAGCCTCATCACATTCGCCTTCCTTTGCCTCCCATCCCACAAGGGCTCATCTATTGAAAGTCTGCTAAGTGTCACCTCTTTATGAAACCTTCCCTAACCATAGGCAAGTTTCTTTACTGCATCTCTAAAATGAGGATGAAGAGCAAACGAGAATTTCTATGCAAGGAGCATTGCAGATACTCAAATAGTAGCTACTATTTTTATAGTGCTTAACCAGGGGCAGGTCAGTTCCTATATCTCTAAAGTGATAAGAGCTCTTGTGCCAAGCTCTGTATTAAAACCTATAATAACATACCTATTATTATCCCCATTTTACAACTGAGGAAACTGAGGCAAAGAGAGAGTAAGAAATTTGTCTAAGGTCACCCAGCTAGAAATTGGTAGTATTTGGATTTGAACTGAGGTCTCAGGTCCTCAGCCCATCATATATCACTGACTTTCATTGTCAGGAGGCTCTAATGAGATAACGAATACAAGGACCGTGGGACCGGGCCTGGCATGTGGTAGGTGCTCAATAAATGCTGGAGACTCAATTGAATTGAAAGGTTTCTACATCCAGGAAGAGGCAGAAAATTACTCACTTTAGTGATCATGATGTCTCATGCTTTTTATTTGACAAGATTCAACATCTTAAGATTTCTAATGAAAATAGGATGTTAAAAAAATAATTCAGAAAAAAAAAATTCAGAATGGTGTTCCACTCAAAGCTCGGTGGGTCCAGAGCCTGTCAATCTCCTTCAATGGGGGTGATTGTGGGTTTCAGCTTCAGAACAGTAAGAGGGTGCAGAGATATTGGAGAAGAAGGTACAGGGTAGTTGATCTGGTTCCAACGATCCCACTCCCCCGCCCCCAGCTTCTGAATCTCTATCATTCTATGTTGTCACCTCAAAAGAACAACTGAGAGAGATTCACTCTAAGGAGGTCTCAGTGGAAGAAATCCCTGGGCGTAATTCTCCAACCAAGGTACCACATGGAATGGGGACTCCTCCGTCTTGACTCCAAATTCTCTTTCAACTCAAATCATTAATCTCATCTACCCACCTCTGAGCTGCATACAAAACTTAGGTAGACCAGAAAGCCTCCCTTTTGAGCCTGGGATCTTCCTACAGAGATAGAAAGCTATCCATCTGAATTGCATCTATGGGAAATCCATTGGGTCACATTTCTTTTGACATGGATGAACCATGAAAATATTATGCTAAGTGAGATCTTCAGGTTTGTCTCCTTTCACGCAGTTGCCCAGCTTTTGGTGGCTCAGAAGTCAAGAAGACAATAGGAAAAAGAACATAATTCTATTGATTGAACCGAAATCCCAAATATCAGGCTTAACCCAAATCTCAGGAAAAATAAAAAAGACAATTCCAGTTGGGTTCCAGGACACAAAAGATAACAAGAGTCACCACCAAGTAAGACTAGGTGGCTTTCCGGAAGTGGACAACTTTCTGAAATGCCTGCCGAAACTCTTCGTTAAACACAGTATAGATGATTGGATTAATGAGGGAGTTTAAATAGCCCAGCCAGGTGAAAAAGTCAAAAAGGGCTGGGTGGATCCAGCAGGAGTCCCGGCAGATGGGGAGGACCAGAGATGCAACAAAGAAGGGCAGCCAGCAGATGATAAAGGCCCCCAGAATGACTCCCAAGGTTTTAGTGGCTTTCCTTTCTCGAGCAGCGGAAATCCTCTTGCGCTCCAGGACACTATCAGCAAGCTTGACTTTCACATGGTTGAAAAAGAGGGCGGAGCCGGCCGAATGAGAGTGCCCCTCGTGAAGGCTGGGGTTGAGAGAGCAGAGCGAGGCCCCCGCAGAGCCCGTGATGAGCTGGGCTGTGGTGAAGCGCTTCCCGTAGAGTGATGGTGGGTTCAGGATGCGGTTCCGGGCAGCCACGTAGATCCGGCCATAGAGGATGATGAGCAGCACAGACGGGATGTAGAAAGCCCCACACGTGGAGTAGATGGTGTAGGAGATCTGAGAAGTGTTCACCAGGCAATCCGACATTTCTTCATGGGCTTTGGCCTGCCGCCAGAAGAGCGGAGGGATGGAGATGCAGATGGAGATGGCCCAGACGATGGCGATCATGGCGGCCGCATGGCCCGCTGTCCGGCGTTTGCTGTACTCCAGGGCATCAGTGATGGCCCAGTACCTGTCCAGAGCAATGACACAGAGATGCAGGATGGAGGCCGTGCAGCACGTGATGTCAGAAGACAGCCAGATGTCACACAGGATTTGGCCAAAGCTCCAGGTGTGGGTGATGGTATACACGATGCTGATGGGCATGACCAAGATGGAAACTAAGAGGTCGGTCACGGCCAGGGAGCCAATGAGATAGTTGGCCGGGGTGTGGAGCTTTCTCGTCAGGAAGATGGTAGTAAGCACGAAGGCGTTGGAAAGGACTGTGGCCAGTGTGATGATGGAAAGGACCACGGCTAGAGAAATCTTGAGGGCTCGGAGGGTCCCCGGATCCCAAGCTTCTGGAGATTCTGTAGCATTCAGAGATCTGTTGGAGACCTCCTGGAGAAGGCCTTCCACTGACTGGTTTGGCGGGGACATTCTAGGTGGCTGTCTCTTCCCACAGACGTCCACACACACGGCTCCTTCTTTCACAGTTGTCTGGCCCATCGAACAGGGTCATCCTTCTGTTTTGCACTGGTGGGGCCGTTCATCAGAACAGACCACAGTGAAAAGACCTTAAGACTTGACTATTTAAAGAACACTGAGGGGACTACCAGCTGGTAGCGAAGGTCTTTCCTAAACCAGATGAATCCCAGGATGTCTCACTGCTCTGGAACTTTGCCCAGCAAATGGTCAAGCCCACTGGACACATGCTGAATTTGTTAGACACTTACCAGGACACCAGTCAGCGTAGGCAATGCTCTGGGATTCTTGCCTCTGGCATTTTGGCTCCTTTCAAAGCTTGCGAGCTAAATGTGTTTAATGAGGACTTTAGAATTTCCCCCATCCTATTCTGAAAAGATTGGGGATTTCAGGTTGCCTCTGGGGAGCTTTTAAAACTAGAGACAAAAAGAAATACCGGCTGATTCAGAGAGGAAGTCCAGTCAACAGCTCACAGCTTTCCCAGGTTCATCTTGACACATCGAGGTACTTAACTTTGGTTCCTGTCCCACTGATCCTTTTGAGTCTGAACAGACAAAACATTCCAGTTACTGAGACTCAAAGAATGCATGAGCTGGGAGAAGGCAAAACAATCGCATCACCATGGGTTCATCGAGAAGGGCACATGTTCAGAGCTCTGGGGTTTTAAAAAGAAAAAAAGTAAAGAGTTAGGTTCTGGAAGGACGATTTAGACACTTGAGATTAACCATAAAATGACATAAATTTATAGATTAACTAAAAGGATACTGCTTAGTGCTGGCAGTGATGCTGTGAAACTGGCATCCCGGAAAGTGTCAGGAGAATGCTGAGAGGGGCATGTGCCCCACCCCCACAATTCCCAGAGGGGGCAAAGTGTCACAGCTGTCGAAAGCATCACAGGCCTGTTACAAGTACATAAAATCAGCTCTGTAAATTGTGAATCAGAAATTACCCCTCTATTTATTCGGCAACAATGGAAACTAAACGAAGTAACTCTGTGCACAGAAGAAAAAGTGGGGGGTCACCAGGAAAGTACCAAATTTTTACAGTGTATTTCTCTAGGAATTGGGGTATATGTATTTCTAGCCGTATGAAATGTTCAAATTTCCTAGAGTGAGCACCCATGACTCTTAAAACAAAAACAGACAAAAAACAAAACACCTTTTTGTTAAGCAAAGAAATTAAAACCCTGAACCTTTTTCATGGGAAAAAGTTCAAATTCAGAAAATACATTCAGCTTTCCAAACGGAAACTGGAAATTTAGTCACGAGAAAATCTTGAAGATTCATTTTCTTTTCCCCTCCAGCCTTGAATGTGGGTTTCAGTATCTGGGACACGGGCAAGGCCTGGCACTCTTCGGGCATGGAGACCTTGGTATGGTGATCATCGGAGTGAGGCAGACCAAGAGGCTAGTCAGTGCAGGCCCATCTCTGGCACGACCCCAGCTGAAGTCTGTGGGGCCTGGCAGGCAGCATCTGGGTATATGGGGTTGGCAAGAAGAACGCCAAGACTCCTTAGCTCCATCCACACCCCCACTGCATCTCCCCTGCCTCGTGTGGAATGCCGCAACTCCACCGGGGATCCCCACACTTCATTTCGTTTCTTCCAGGTCACCTTAACCAACAGGTTCTGCCCTGGGAGCATTCATGGCCCTGAGCAGACATGGAGCTTCAAGGACCCCGGGATGGAGCTAGCCAGGCAGAACACACACACACACACACATACACACACGCACACACACACACACACACACTTTAAAAATATGATCTTTATAATTACGTATGAATTTATTTTGTAGTTTGTATGTTTTCCAACTTAACATATTTTGAACAATGTTCCATTAATCACCCCCATAACATCATTCTTAAGGGCTGCATAGTGTTTCACTGGTTGGCTGCCTTAACGAGAAGGGTTTCAATAGTCAGAGTCGGGAGGTATGGCAATCCTGGTGGCTAGAAAGGCAAGAGCAAAGGCCCAGAGGTCAGAAAGTGCAAGACATGGTCGGAGGACAGCTAAGAGACCACCAATGAGGACCAGGAGGTGGCCGGTGCTAAGGGTGGGAGGAGCAGGGCACAGGGGACAGCTTGACTTAGACCACTGGGGCAATCCGGCCGGAATCCCTCTTCTAGCCCAGCCTTCCTATATGACCGTGGGCACGTCCCTTACACTTTCTGAGTCTCAGATTTCTTCCCCAAAACAGTAGCCACCCCACCTGCCTCCCAGGGCTGCTGTGGACCTTCTATGGCTCCCGGCAAGGCCAGCTTTGAAATACAGTAAGATGCTAAGAAGTGTCAAGAGTCATGTCATCCTACTCCCTGTCCCCACAGCGTGGCTCCAGGCTTTGTTGGGAAGGTTCAATCTATGTCTGTTGATTGATTTTTAAACATTAAGAAGTAAAAATCTGCAATGTGGTAGTTTTCCTCCCACTCCCCAAATTGTAGGTGCTTCATCTTTTAAAAATATCTGCCTAGAGGAAGGAAACAGCCTCAATTTAAGAAAACCAATCTTAAGCCACCTGCTCAAAAATATTTCCAAAGTTTAAAGGATATTATTAGAATCTCTTTCATGGGGCTCTTAGTATGTTCTAGGCACGGTTAGCCCTAGGGCTAAGAGTCACCTGACCTGTGAAGTGGACATGGCCCCCTACTTACAAATGAGCCAACCAGTGCTCAGGGAGGTGATGTCACCTGCCCAAGGTCACCCAGGTGGAAGTGGAAAAACTGGGTCCAGAGCCAGCTCTCCAAATTCCCATTCTTCTCCACACTGCTTCAGTTCAGGAAGAAAAGCCTTAGGGCACATGTGCTTTCAGGAGTGAAGCCGGTTTCGGATCTCATGGCGATAAGTGAAAATCTGAGCCCTGCTGCTCCACCCCAAAAGCCCCTGGCCAAAGACTCCTCCCGTTTTGGTTCACATGAAAAATGTGAAGTTGGGTCGGACCGTTTGGAATTTTCTTCCTTCCAGACAGTCTGGGTGAGTGAGGCGCCTCATTTCTCACAGGAGGCTGGTGTGCTTGCCCCACAAACTCATGCGGTCGCTCCTTGGGTTCCAGGCATTCCAGTGACCTCATTCCAGTGAAAGGCGTGGGCTCAGAAAGGCCTGAGAGGTTGGTGGGTGACATCTTGGGAAGAAGGACGGGATGGATGGATGGATGGATTGCCTCTGTCGGGAATACTGGGCTCTAGCTCTGCAGGAAGCTATATGACGCTGAGGCCACCTCCCTTCTCTCCTGCCTGCTGTCCTTCCCCATCCTGAACGAAGCTGGGGGACTTCCCAGAATCCAACTACCTTCGGAGGTACAGACTGTGTAGCTCTATAATCAACTCCTTTTCCCCTCATCGCACTTCAAATAAAACAAAAAACGCAGATTAAAACAACAATGAGAGACCATTCTCATCCAGCAGATAAGTACACCTTTTAAAGCTGATCGTGTCATGTCATTTGGTAAGGGTGTAGAGCAACAAGAATTGTCACCTACCACTAGGAGAGTATAAAGAGGAGAATCCTTGTTAACAAACATAAAGCTAAAGATGTAAAGACTACCTCATATCCAGTCATTTCACTCTCAGGTATGCATCACAGAGACATTCTTGGATGTGTTCCCCAGCAGACAGCAGCAAGAATGGTCACGGCAGCACTGACTGTAATAGCAAACAATGAGAAACTACCCAAACATCCATCAACCGCAGAATGTGGCACATTCCTACGATGAGGGGCTCCAGAGAAGCAAAATTGAGTCAACCAAAGCTGCACGCGTTCTCACAAACACCACCGAATGCCAAAGTCAAAAACATGCGAGAAGAAACAAACTGTGCAGGGATATAAATACATGTGGCAAAGCCATAAGGAAAAGCAAGGAAGTGTCAAAAATAAAAATTACACCTGGAGAAGAAAGGATGTGAGAATGTAATTGTTGAGGGGTTTGAAAGGTATCGATGATGTTCTATTTTTTAAGGTGGTGGGAGGTACGTGGATGTTTCTTATTCTTCCATCTGTATGTATGTCATATATATGTACACATTCACACACAGTCTCTTTTGTAGGGAATGATAAATCTGTCGTTTTTCTTAAACAATCAATTATGTGCACCATAAAAAAAAGAGAACCACACTAATAGCAATCACACGGATACGTTTCGATACATTAATATCTATCGATACATTTGAGTCCTGAAGAGCTGGGTTCTGGTCCCAGTGCTGCCACTGACCAGCACAGTAGCCAAAGGCAAGTCATAACTTCTCTTTGATCATGAGTTTCTTCCTTGGTAAAATGGGAACACAAACGTGGCTATGTTGCCTCAAAGGAATGTTTATTAGTTCCAGTAAGGTCATGTATGTGACGTGCTGTAAACTGTAGAGTCCTAAATAAATGTAACAACAAAGAGCAGTGGCCAAAAGCAAACACTTTAAGTCGGGAAGGCCAAGTCCTCATCTCCACGGCTCCACTTTCTCACTGTGGCCACTGGGCAAGTCGCTCAATCTCTCTGGGCCTGTTCGGCCTCTGTGATGGAGATGCTCATCTATACTATACTTCACAGGAGTTTGGGGAGAAGCGGCAAGATCAGGGATCCAAATGCCCAATGTAGTAAATGATGACTTATCTGGTTACTTCTCTATGATGTGTCCAACCATATTCCGGTCTCCAGGCAACAAGGTCCCTTCTCGCACCAGAAACAAGGCGTCACTGTCAGCGACACCAGGGAGCTTCTCCCCTGCCCACCACCCTCCTGTGGGCCATCACAGCAGCAGCACAGACTTCCCTCAGCTTCTCCCCAGCCCAGCAGCATCTCCCTTGGAGTCCAGATCACAAGGACTCCACCCATGCCATGCACCCCCAGTTCTAGCATCCTGCAGAAGGATGGAGCGGGAAAAGCAGGCAAACAGACCTGGGTCCGAATCTCAGCTTGTTCCACAGACCACCTCTGAGCACAGCTGATCAGACCAGGGTGGACACGTGACCCAAAATGAGTCAGGCAGATTCTCTCTTAGGAATTTAGAATGGAGATTGGGAGCTGCTGGGTAGATAGGTGACGGAAGGAGAGCAACCTGAAAGCTAAGAATCCTGAGGCTGATGTTGGGCCACAGCCATAACCAAAACCAGGGCAGGAAGGCCATAAATAAACAAGGAAAATAGATCGGCAGAAAGAGGCAGGAGAACGGAAAAGACAGAGAAAAGAAGAGGCGGGGGAGGGGGAAACACCTGCCCTAGGAGAGGAGGGAGATGGAGCCTGCCAGGCCCAGTGACACTCCTTCCTATCCTTGGATGTCCACAAGTGACATCTGGACCCAGGAAACCACATTTGTACCAACTCGGACTTTTCTCAATTGACCCAGTTCAAATGGACACAACAGGCCCTGAGAAACAGTCATAAGACAGAGGTTTCTCGGTTCCCTTCCCCCGAGCAGTCCCTACTGTGGATCGAGGCAAGTCATTTCACCTCTGGGGCTTTTCTTTCTCATCTGTAAACTGGGGTAAGAGCATCTTTCTCTCAGAATCGCTATGTCGATTCAGCGAAGGAGGGAAAACATGCCGGCACAGCGGCTGCCACATGGCAGGTGTTTTTTTTTTTTTTTTATCACTCTTAACTAAGACTTCCTACCCGGGGAGATCAGTCACCTCCCTGTTCTGAATGCTCTTGATTTTAACTAAGTGAGTCATAAAACTTTGAGGATGTATGGTTTTCATGGATGCTCAGGAGCCGGCTTCATCCTTTTGGAAGAAAAAAACCAAGGTTCTGTGATAAAGATGTGTCGCAGTAGAATAATCCCCATGGAGGAATTCGTGTCTGTCTGTTCTTTCTCCGGAAGCTGTGTGGTATGGCTGAGTGAGCCCTGGAAGGGAAAATGATTCTCCACAAATCTGAAGAGCGCTTTCTATTGTACAAAGCACATCTATAGCTGTGACTGCGTCTTTCTCGCCGCCGCATGGGACCTCCCACAGCCTCCATTTTCTCTTCTGCAAAATCTGGCCTACCACCTGGGGGTGAAATAAAATATGTGGGGGAAACTCTGAGAAGTTTTAACGTGGGTGTGTTGTGTGCGGGGCGGGGGGTGTCTATCCATCTGTCTATATATCTGAGTGCAAGTTCTGATATCTCATTGGTATCTTGAGCAAGTTCATCTTTTCTCCCAGTTTCTCTAATCATAAAATCTGGAAAATGTAGAAAATAAAAAGTAGTCGCACCTCTGACCCCAAACTTCCACTCCCAGCTATAGAACCAACAAAAACATGTACATATATCCCACCAAAAGACTTGTGCAAAAATTGTTCATTACAGCACAATTTAACAACCCCAAACCGAAAACGATCCAAAACGGACATCGGCAGTAGAATGGATAAACAAATGGTGGCGTATTCACACAGCAGAATAGTACACACCAACGAGAATGGACCCCAGCTCCCCGCTACGCACAACCGCACGGATGAACCTCACACATAAAGTTGAGCAGAAGCAGCACAACATTATGGCACCATGTGTGATTCAAACTTCATCAAGTTCAAGAACAGGCAAAACTGACCTACACTGATAGAAGTCGTGCTGGGGCGTCACCTTTGAGGGGAGGAGATGCATTGACTAGGAAGAAGCATGACAGGGGCTTGTGGGTGCCAGTCATGTTCTGTTTCTTGAGCTGAGTGTGTTCACTTTATGAAAATTCATGAGGACGTACACTAGTGTTTGGGGCAATTTTGTTTTTGTAAAAAGTTTACCCACAAAAGGATTGGTTAAGTGCCTAAGAACCCGAGGCACCACTTCTGCTGGCAAAAGGGGACCCCTGGGCTTGTCATATAAGCTCTTTGAGCTCAGTTTCTTCCTATGGAAAATGGGGACAAATAATAGTACCAACCTCAAACTGCAGTTATGTTGAGTGAGCCGAATAGAAAGCAACAGCCGTATGGTAAATGCTCCACAAATTCTAGTTCATTATAATTAACAGTCCTTCCCTGGCAAACATAATTTAGAAGAAACTTTTTGGATGATGTCATCCAGTCTAATCAGCTGAAATTACTGATGCCCAGAGAGGTGGGTGACTTGCCCAGGACCACGGAGCAAAGTTCGACGTCCTTCCCAGCTCAGCTCAGCGCTTCTGCTCCCCGAGACTGCCTCCCCCTCCCCCTACCAAAAGAAGGACTGTATTTCCTAGGCCCTCAATTCTGGGTTCAGCATGGACTAGTCACCACCAAGAGAATGAGGCTATGCTTGTGGGAAAGTGGACCAAGGGGTTCTAAACCCTGGCCATCTGCCCCTAATGCTACCGCTTGGGCAGAGTTAGTACCCTCATTTTACAGATGAAGAAACTGAGACCCAGAGAAGTAAAATGACTAGCCCAAGGCCACGCAGGTGATGCGTGGCACAGCTGGGATTGAGAACCAGTGCTGAGAAACTCTAGAATAGCCACTCCTGTGGCCACTGAAGGCCTGAAATGTGGCTACTGAGATGTGCTGTTAAGTGTAAGAGCCACTGGGTTTCAAAGGCTTAGCTCAAAAAAGAATGTAAAATATCTGATTAATTATTTTTATATCAGTTACATGGTAATATTTTGGATATACTGAGTAAACAAAATATACGATTGAAATTAATTTCACTTTTTTCTTTGTTTAACATGGCTATCTCTAAACTTTTTAAATCTAAAATTATATTTGTGGCTTGTATATCTCTTGGATAGTGCTGCTCTGGAACCAGCGATTCTAAGCAGGGGTGACAATGCCCCCTAGGGGTCATTCTGGGACTCTCTCCTCAGGGAACTCAATACAATCCAGGGGAAAGCGGTTGGGACAACACAGTGGCCAGGGGCTGGCATAGTAATAATTGTAAAGCAATGGCCAACATTTTTAAGAGCTTACTATGTGCAAGGCACTGTTTTAAGTGCTTCTCTTATATCAACTCACTTAAGTCTGACCACGATCCTCTAAAGTCCCATTATTATTATTATTATTATTATTATTATTATTATTATTATTATTATTACCATTGCCCAGGGGAGGGGACTGAGGCTTAGAGAAACGGCTTGCCAAAGACCTCAGAGCTAGGACACTGTAGATCTAGGACTGGAACCTGGGCTTGCTGAACTCCATGCTCCACCACTCATAAAAGAGAAGTCAGTTCCACTCCCTTTCGCATTCTACAAATATTTACCTCACGTATGCCTGCACACATTCAAAACATCTTCGCTGGGTGCCCGTTGTGTGCCAAGCTCCATCACTTGCATCTGAAAGGGCCTCTCTCTGCCGATGGGAGGGTGCACAGACATCTTCATTCAGCACTCAGCACAACCCGAAGAGAAGGCGGGAATGTGATCACTGCAGTGCTTCTCACACTTGATGGGCACAAGCATTACCTAGGGACCCTATGAAAAATGCAGGTTCTGATTCTGTGGGTCTGGAGCAAGACCTGAGATTCTGCATTTCTGACAAGCTCCCATGGACCACACTGAGTTGTGCAAGGGATAATAGTAATGTCAGCCCTAGGATTTAAGAGGGATCTCAGAGTGTCAGAGTGGGAAGGACTCTTAGGAATCATCTAGTTCAACGCCCTCATGGTGCTGACAGGGAGAGAGGCCCAGAGAGAGTAAGACAATGGCCTAAGGTCACACAGTGAGTTACAGGCAGAGACCACGCCTTCAGACCCCTATCAGCTCCTCCCACTGCCTCCAGTTTGCAGCGGGAACTTGAGACAAAGAACAGAAGTATCCAGAGGTTCTCATGCCTATTTCACACCATAAGCTTTTTGGCACCTCCCGCCCCACCACACACACACACTTCCTGTCTGAGTTTCCACACTAGGAGTGTGATCCTGTATTACAGACAGAGAGGGCAGACCACACTCTGCAAGAAGCTTTTAGGGCTGTATCCCCTGGCTCGGGAGCTCAACCTGCCCCTCCCCACCAGATGTTGCACATCTGGGTCCCCAGAGAGCCCTTGAGCTGATGAGTGAAACCATTTCCATGACAGAGGAAAGGCTGTCTTCTCCAGACTGGATAAACAAGGTACTAACAACAGGAATTCATTTCCTAGAAATTAAACACTGAATTTGTGTGTTTACAAGATCCAAACCCGCTATTCGCCATCTGCTCTCCCTGCTGGGAGGCACAATACAGCCATGATTAGGAGCACAAGTTTTGGAGTCAGGTACACTGAGATTGCTTCCCAGCTCTGTCGTTTACTTACCAGGCATTGGCACGAGCGACACAGATGTTGAAGACTTACGGTGGCCCTGGAAAAACCCTCCTGGAACCGGGACCACAGACGAGATTAGGAGGACACAGGAGTGGGAAGAGATCCTTGGGAAAGTAGGAGGGACATGTAACCTGTTGCAACCCTGAGATCCCCCTCTGAAAGTGACTTTGAAGCTGAGCACTGGAGGACAAATAGACTCAGCAAGAGAAGAGGAATTGGGGCCAATGACACCTACTCCAAGGGACTGAAGCTTGGAGAACTCTTTCCTCCACGCAGCCCAAATCCTTTTTCTTCATTTCCTATTGCTTACCTATTCAGAGACTGCACAGTTCAGCTCTTTCTTCTCATCCTCCTGCTCACCTGCATTCAGCAAAACAGGCTACCTCCAGCTTGGCTCAGACCCACTCCTGCAAAAACACTGTGGTTCTCTCACTCCTCTGAGCCTTTGCACAGGCTGTTCCCTCTACCCGGAATGCCCTTCCTCTTGTCCCCTTCAACCTTCTCAAGGTTCTTCTGGACTTTAGGAATGGTAGTGATCCCTCCTTCCTCCCCACCCCACTGGTCTCCTTATCACATATGACCCTGGACTCCCTTCAACTGGGCTCACTTGCTGACTGCCTTTCTGTAGGACTGGAGTTCTGGAAGGGACAGGGGACACGTATGTCATGTGTCATGAAGCCCAGTGCCCTCTGTGTAGGGTATCCTCCCCCTTCACCCACCCCTTCAACCTCACTTTTACCCTCAGGATCAAATTCAACTGCCTCCCCTTAGCTGAAATGTGTCTATTCCTTCCGTCCAAGTGGAATCAGCCTCCCTCCTCTAACTTGTGGCTCATGTTTGTAATTTACATGCGTGTCTCTCATCATCCTGCAGTCTAATGCTGAGGGGCTCTGTCCCCACAAAATGGTATATACCTGGAGCAGAGAGCTGGTTTTGTTCACGGATGTATGTTTGGGCTTAATACTTACAGTGGTTTGGTAACGATTTACTCAAAGAATGAATGAAAGAAGAACGCTGACAGTTTTATCTCTGACACCTCTGGCCCCAAATGTCCTTTGCTCATCCCTCCTGGATGTCCCACAGGGACATCGACCTCAGTCGAGTCGCCATTTCCCTCATCCACTCCAGTCCTTCCTGTTTCCTCCTTGGGAGGCATTATCCTGTTCTTACTCACCCATCCCCAACACTTGAATCCTCTCTCTCTCTCCTTCTCTTACTCAGCATTTAACCAGTTACTGCCCTTTGATGAATAAGGAAGCTGAGGTTGAGAAGGGTAATGCAATTGGCTCAAGGTCACATAGCAAGTAAGTGGCCAAGTTTGGAGCTTTGCTCTGAACAGCCCAGATTTCTTCATCAGCCTGGCTTCTCACTGCCCTACAGGTTCTATCTTCTTTTCCCCGTCTTCTGTACACACATTTGGGGCGCGTGCGTCTTGGTTCAGGCTGACAGACTGCCCTCTGCCTGGAAGAGCAATCTTCCCCATTTCCCTTCATACATACCTATTGTACTCTGCTCTCTGTTCTCTGAGGCCCTCCTCAAAAGCCACTTCCTCCAGGAAGCCTTCCCTGCAAAATCTCCCTCCTTTAAACCCTCTCCTGACTCCAGGTTTGTTTGTGCCTCTTACAGCCTGTGGCTGGAAGCTCCTTGAGGAGCTATGCTCCCCACCCTAGCGCCCAGAGCACAGTAGGCTGCAATCACTATAGACTAACTCCTCTTCTAGGGCTCAGATGAACCCTGGAGAAATAACCGTATTCCCTCTCTCTTGTCTGAAACTCTACAAAAGCTCCCATATCCGAATAAAATCTAAAATCTCACCATGGCCTACATTAGCTGCTCCTATCCCCAACCAGCCACCTTTCTGACCTCATCTCTTACCAGCTGCCCCCCTTCAATATCACCCCTTAAGGCAGATCTTTGACCAGTCCACATAAACTAGCTCTCATCATCGATCATATCAGCCTGCTTTATGCCCATTTTAGCACTTTATCCTTTTTTAAAAAATATTTTCTGCTTATTCATTTATTGTTTATCTCCCCATACCTCCAACAATCACTTTCTGTCCAGCTCATCACTATATCCCTGTGGCCTAGAACAATACCTGGCTGACAATAAATAGGTGGGTCCACAGCCTGAAGAGAGTTCTGAGCTAGATACATACGTATATGAGGTCAAGTGCATAGAGGCAGTAACTCAAGCTAATGGGTGGACGAGACCACCCAGGAAGAGTGTCTACTAGGAGAAGAGAGGAGGGTGTGGGAGAGCAGAGGAACTAACGATTGTAGAAAGGAGGATGAACCTGCAAAAACAACAGAGATGCAGGAGGCAAAATAGGGCAATGTTAAGTTGCAGGAGCCACAAGAGAGTGTTTGCAGAGGAAAAGAGAGTTCAGCAGTGTCAGCTGCTGCTGAGAAAGTTAAAGAGTAAACAGTGTCTACTGAATTCAGCTTCCTGGAGGACACTGGTGACCTGGGCAGATCCCTGACTCTCTGGGATCCATCTCTGCAATGAGGTTCTGGGAACTCAGCTCTGAGAATCTGTATTTCTGCACACATTCGCATCACTGTCGCCAAAAAGAACAGTCATCCATCTGCGGCCTAGGAGAAAAGGGATGAACCAGCGTATCCACCTTATTTATCCACCAGGTAACTGACAAACTCTGAGAAATCACCTCTCTGTTTCCAGCCCTGTGCTAGGCACCAGGGGGAGGAGGAGAGGGGACTCTAGGCTCTACCAGTCATGCCCAGCTGGCCAGCCCCCTCCCTCCTATACCACCCTCTAGGTCCTCCATGACAAAGACCACCCATTTCATCCCACCAGCTGGACAGGGCCAAAGGCTGGAGAATGCCCAGCCGCCCCGGAAGTCTTGCTTGCTGCTGTCAGTAAAGGGTCTCCTGATGTCCTTGGGAGGAAGGCTGAGACCCTGGCCAGTGTCTGTGCAGCCCAGGGGAGAGCACAGCCCCACAACGTGCACTGAATTAGAAAACACCAGAGTCCGAGTCCAAGGAAGAGACTGAGCGGTTGCTGCTCCTAATCAGAAGGATGATGGTCACTAATGACCGGGCTGCTGTTAGAGGCCAGGGGCTGTCCTGAACAATGACCTCATTTGATTTGCACAGCAAAGCCTGTGAGGAGGGAAACCAAGGCTCAGAGAGGTTAAGGGTTTTCCCAAGGTCACACAGCTAGGAAGTAGCCAAGCCGGGTTTGCTAATGTAGCCAGTCAGTCTGACTGAGAGCCCCAGATCTTAATCCTTGAACTTCCCCAGAGCTGGTGAGGCAAGGGACTTTAGTCTTATATTCTCTTACAAGCAGTGTGACCTTGGGCAAAATTTATTACCGCTCTCCCAATAAAGCAGATTCCTTAGTGCCCTTCCAATTCTGACATTACGTGATTAGCTAGGATTTGTACAGAACTTTACAGTTTATAAAAAGACATCCATTCGGCATCTCATTTATTCCCATGGATCCCGCGGGGTGAGAGAAGCATCTCCTCCATTTGACAGATGTACAAACTTATGCTCGAAGAGATGCAGTGACCTGCCCAAGGTCACAGACAGTCAGGGCGCGCAGAGCTTCGGATCTGGAAGCTCCGAGGTCCGACACTGGACGCTCCTTCAACTCCCCTCCTCAAAGGGGCGGCCCCGCACGGCGCCGCATCCCGACCTGGCCGGTAGGGGGCAGCACCCAGCTTACCCTCGGCCGCGCGGGGCCAAGATGGGGAGCCGCAGCCCCTGGTCCAGAGGGTGCGCCTCCCGCCCTGCCCTGCCAGATCTCGCTTCGGCGCGGGGCACCCCGCACGCGAACCTGGAACCCCGTAGCTGCCTCTGGGTGCCGCCTCGGCCCACCCTCCACCCTGGGGCTCTGGACGGCGCCCTCGGACGCTCCCCTGGGGCTGGGCTGGTCCTCCGGGACCCTCTTGCCCGCGCGCGCCTCCCGTCCGAAGGCGCCCAGGGGTGAGACGCCGCGGGTTGCCAGGCCCGAGCCCGGGCGCCCCCTCCGCGCCCCCT